GGTCAGCGTTGTCTGGCCTTAGAGAGGTTCGATACTCAGCCCGGCTGGTAAACATGCGGTAGGGCTCTGTAACGCCTCGACCCACAAGATCATCAATGAGAACCCCAATATAACTCTCGGTTCGAGACAAGGCCACCTGAGGCATGGAGAGCGCCCAGCGGGCAGCGTTCACCCCCGCCCACAGCCCCTGCACAGACAGAAAAAACATTTTCCTCAGGTTGAAATAGTTTCTGTTAGAAAAGACATGATGCCACCATGGTGCAGTTCTACTACTGTTTTTAATACTTGCTATATGTGAGTGTGAGTGTATAAATAATACTACTTATAAATGTATGAACAATATTTTTGTCCAATTACAGGGCAGGTTTGGAATGAAACAGACTGCTGATACTGATAGGTGATAGTGTTGGAAGCAGAAGACTAAAACTTGGGCAACATCGCTGCTGCCACAAATGAATTGGCATTACAGAAATGATCAGCACAATTTTGTGGAAAACATATTTTAGTGTAGAGGGGCTGTCCAGTCAAAGAGGGAAATTATCACCGAGGTGATTTGATGTTTTTTGACTCTTAATTGCTAAATTTAAGAAAATGCAGCTACCTGTGCAGCAGCCTCCTCGTACCCTGTTGTTCCATTGATCTGACCGGCCAGAAAGAGACCTTGAGTGCTTTTCACCTGCAGGGCAGGGCTCAGCTGAGTGGGACACACAAAGTCATACTGCACGCCATAACCTGGAAAAGACAAAAAAACACTCACTGAGATGTTTGACTGACCGATTCATATACTACTGTATAGTCAAGCATGAAATTTCATTATACTGTACTTTTCTCATTCAAAACCTTTAAATGGGTAAAAGACTGACTGAGCTGTAGCCTGTAATTTCAGGGGTGAGGGTAGATGCTGTATCACTGTAACTCTCTGCTTTTAGATCTACTGTAAATCACTTGTAGATCAAACAGGATTCAGTCAGTGTACCAGGTGTGTGGATCTCAGCTCTGTGCATGGCGGGGATTTCTCTGATGAGGCGGAGCTGCATGTCGGGGGGCATGGTCATGGATAGACCCTGTGGGTACAAAAGGTCAGAGGTCACCCCCTCAGGCTCCAGCCACACCTGGTGCCTCCGTCCTGGAAAGCGAAGCACTCGTGACTCGATGGAGGGGCAGTATCTGTCAGAGATAAAGTCCAGAGTTAATTCCTTTTGAGTCTCAGAACACACTGAGTAAATATCTTTTTGTGTGTTTGTGTGTGTGTACCTGGGACCCTTGGTGTCTTGCTGTATGTGACAGTTGAGATGAAGACTCTCTCTCACCACTCTCTCCACAGCAGGAGTGGTACTGGTCAGGTAGCAAGGCAGCTGCTCTTCAGGCTTCAGAGTGTTTGATTTAAGTAAAGCATTCATTAGTTAGAAAGGACAATTATTGAAAAATTAATAGGACATAATGTACAAGCCCTTAGTTGACAAAAGGAAAACATCTTATAGTCAGCACATGATAGATCTTCTAGACTTGAAACTATGAAGCTGTTCCTTTAATACTAGTATTAAAAAAACTTTTGGTTAATCATCAAGTCAACTAATTTAACTAATTAACTTTTTGGAAAATAACATTTTTGTAAGTGAATTTTTTTTTATACTTTTATCATATATCAGATAAAAAATAGTAACATTTGTTGGTTACAGCTTCTCAAATGTAAGGATTTGCTGCTTTCATATCTGTGAATTAAACCCTTCCCTTTATTTGTTAAGACTTAGACAAACTGAGCAACTTCAACACATCACTTTGGGCTGTGTTTCATTATTTTTGGTGAATAAAACATGGAATACTGAAGAAGAAAGAAAAGATTATACTGGCCTACACCTTGCTGTGTTTGTATTCTCAAAGTTAGATATTCATTTGTCACACTTTTTAACATTTTATAGGCTAATCAATAAAATAAATGAAGTACATGGTAGAGTACTTCATATAAACTTTACCTTGCAGCGTGTGTGTGTATTAAGGAAGCTGAATGGAGTTGGATGACTGTCAGGGGGATGAAGCTGAGCCAGGTCAAGGTCAACTGAATCCTTCACAATCCTGGGAGGCGTACCAGTCCTCAGTCTGCCTGTCCTTAGCCCCAGCCTCTCCTTCAGTGTATAGGATAGCCCAGCACTGGATGGAGCATCTCCAATCCGACCCCCGGGGGACGTGGTTTGGCCCACGAAGAGGGAGCCAGACAAGAACGTACCAGTGGTAAGAACCACGGAGCGGGCTGAGAGCGGGTGGATTCCATTCACTGGGGAGATGTTGAAAGAAGTGCAAAAGGATCATAAACTGATTAACAGTCTAGGTTTTCTATCTGTAATAACCAACCAATATTGGAAGTGTGTGAAAGTGCACTTTACCACTTGTCACATATGTTAGAGATTATTGTCAAATGTCAAACTAAGTCCAGATTTCCTAAACAAATCTGTTAAAATATAGAACTGGAGTAAACATCATATCACATATAAACAGATTTAAATTTAAAAGTTTAAAAAAACTGTTGATGTAATAAATATATGATAAAAATACACCTTTAATAAGAAAACTTAACCATGATAAAAATAGTCAACGATAGATAATATATGTTTATACCTATATTGCCAAAATAAGCAAAGTAAAACCGTGGTTGTCAGTGCATCAGTGTGTTATTCATTATTCCTTTGCCTACTAAAGATTAACATTACATGAAGCTGTATTTTTAATCACTGACCACAGTGACAGTACATTCAGTATACAGCATAAGCTAATTATTGTAATGGTGGAATAATAAATATATATATATATATATATGTATATATACATATATATATATGAATGGGGTAAACATTGACAGATAGCTGTCTTTTAGTCCCTACCCAGATGTATCCCTGTAACTCTGTGGTGTCCGGGCTCCTCTGGGTTTGGTTCTGTTACCAGCAGCTCCTCCACCGAGCCCTCCAACACTGTCAGCCTGGGAGTGGACAGCAGCTCAGACTGAACCAAAAACAGCAGGCAGACCCGTAGACAGTTAATGACATTTTTGAATTAATTCACAGTAAAAAAATGTGTCACATCAAACACAACACAGGCTTTTTTACATGTGTGTATGAGATACCTGAATGAATTCGCGGTAGCGTTGGCGGTCCAGCTGGGCCCTTGGGCCCCACACAGCAGGGCCTTTTCTACGATTTAGGATGGAGAAATGGATCCCGGCCCAGTCTCCAGCTCGACCGCAAAGCCCATCCAGAGCATCTACCTCCTTCACAAGCTGGCCCTTCCCTATTCCACCCAGAGATGGGTTACAGGACAGGGCACCTGGGGCAATGTGAGGGAAGAAGGAGAGGATGATGAACAGCTTAAGAGTCAACTGTCTGTTTATACACTTTGATAGAAAAAAGTTCTCAGTCCACTTGTTCAAATCAAAATCACCAAACCTTTGCAAATAAGAAGCGAGAAGAAAGATTTTGTAAAGAGTTAACTCTCCCTTTAACAAAGCCCTTTTTCTCTCACCGATCGTGTTTATTTTCTGTGTGACCAGAAGAGTCTCAGCTCCCACTCTGGCTGCTGCTGCCGCCGCCTCGGTCCCTGCATGACCCCCACCCACCACAATGACATCATACTGCTGTCTGGTAAGATGACTGGCATGTCTGGAAACCAGGGACAGGAAGCTCTGCAGGAGGGGGGGCTTCTTTGTCAACATGTGAGATGCATACCTGCTGAAGTCAAGTTTAGATGGTCAGAAATATAAGAAAGATAAACAATAAACTGCTTTAATTCTTAGTTGTGTAGTACTTACTGCATTAGGCCTGGCAGATAATTGACTGATATAATGACTTTATATGCTGCTGCTAATGTACCCTATTTAAGGGCAAAATAACATAAAGGAAAACACTGAATGAGGAACTATGGAGGTCCAAGGCTTATTGGTCATAGCAGTAAATAAGCAATCACTAATTGTAAGAGCAGATTTAAAGGGGCACTCCACAGATTTTACACATAAATTAAGTTTACTCATCACAAATTCTGCTCATCCTGTGAAAACAGTTGATGCAATCAGGGTTATCTCTTTGCTCAGGATTTCAAATTTTAACAGAAAGTCTGCATTACAAACTGGATGTAAGGGGCATGAAAGGTTAGTATTTAGGAGGCAAGGGAGTCGTAAGACACAGAAGATTGGTTGCATTATGGGAAATGCAGGCTTGAGCTTTCAAGTTTAGATAATAAGTGTTGATCTACCAAATCTATAAAGATCGCAGCATATAAATATCACTTAGTTATCAATTCTATGAAGATGTGTTCTATTTATCTTTAAATAGGATCAGAAGAACACTGATGTTTATTTCCACAAGTACATACACTTAACAGTACTGCATTTGTACGAATGTATAGGTCCACTGCAACTACAATAACTTTAAGAATTAAAGATACATACAGTTTGTTTGGCAGATGAATGAGGTGACGAATGAGGTCCTTTGTTTAATTTCCAGGTTGCTGGCAGAGGGATGATAGATTTGAGGAAAGATCAAGACCCTTGGGAAAATGTAAAAGTTCCTGCTATGTAACACAAATGCTCTTCACGGAGGCAGCCATGCTGTCTGCAACTTCCAGCCGTAATAACTGCAGTACAGGCTCACTCACAAAGCTTTTTCGCTCTGTCTCGTCATTGGCTGTTCTTATCATAAGTTATTGATGAATTCATGAATGAAAATGAAAAAATAAAGCAAGCAAAAGAAAAAGCTGAAATAAATGAGTATCAAGGGGGACATTCGTAAACAAAACAATACTGTTTTTTTTGTGTGGTGAGTGCCACGTGTACAGTAGATAACATTCATTCTTAATCTCAGAGATAAATTAGGATCGATAAAATATCGATTCCATACACACATTATTCCACGTACGCGCGCTCACTAGTGGGTCAAAGGCGCACGCGCACGTCAACGCCCCCTCCCCCTTCCGACCGGTTCCTACTCAGCCGCGCGCGGATTGAGTCAAGTGAACCTACCGAGAGGTGGTGTTGACCAACCGCAGCAGGTTTTCAGTAAGAAACCTGAAAAATCTAACTTTCTAAGGCAACTGACAGTAACGCTAAGACCTTAATTTTTAACGGAAGGGTCCGCGGTGCCGGAGCTAAGGCGACGCGACAGAGAGAAGAAAGTAAATCCCGGAGGGAAAGCGCCCGAAGTGAGCTTGAGGATCAAAGCTAATGCTAACTTAGCCAGCCATTGCTAAATAATTATACGGAAACTCGTGTTATTTTATTAGACGCTTGCTTTGACATACGCATTGTGGTTACAAAGTGGGAAGTCGGGGGGAAATCTGTTAAGTTATATGCTACATTTAATTTAAATAGCGAGGTGTTTTGCCTTTCCATTTTAGGCCACAAGCGACTGGTATTCACTTGGCGAGATTAGCTACAATAGCCGGTGTTATTGAGGTTACACCGGCTCTGCGCTCCTCAGGACAGGTGATACTGTTAAAGATAGTTCACTGCTAAAGGAACTTTACATCGGGAGGTATCAGTGTTTATAAGTTAGCTTACACTTGGTACTGTCTAAGCCTTGTGCTTCGCAATGCTGAAACAACAGCAGCAACCCGGCTCAGGCGGGAGAAAAGCGTCAAACGGAACCTCGGGCCCCGCCGGTATGCCTTCCCCAGTCAGCGGCATCAACAGCGGCAACAGGACACCGGCCGGGAGGTAAGCGAGCGGGGGGACTGCCAGGACAGTCCGGGGATTGTCCTGTGACTCAGAGGCCTACCGGTTAAAGCACTGTGTGTCAGTGGGCGTGTCCCGGTAATGGAGCGTCTCTCCAATCCAATGAAATCAGTTTGTTTTAGATTGACACTGACTGTTAACCAATCAGAATGCTCACATTGACCCGAGGGTGAATTAATGAGGTGGGTCCAAGTTTGGTGAAAGCAATGGGTAGCAAATCAGCACAAAAGCGATACAAAGTTTATCTGGCCTGTCAGTGCCAGATAGGGGGACGTTGACGATTGAAAAGTGTTAAAAATTACAACAAGACATCTTTGTAGCCAACTAAAGCCTGATATAGAAACCTTATTGTTAACATCGAAAAGATTTTACGACCAGGACAAGGTCATATGTTGTCTAAATCTCTGAGATGAGTGTGTGTTTACTGAACTCTTGTCAGCTTCGTCTCTTTGTTTTGCGCCCGTGAAAGTGGCTAGCAGTAATACCATCCCATGCGTGCATTCTTTATGGGGGTGCATTTAGTATTCAGATAGATCTTAATCCATTTACTGAGTGTGTCAAGATGAGTCTATTCCTCCAAAGCTTGTTTCCATTTCCATCTAAGCTGGTTTATATGGTGTAGCTTTCTCTTTTCCTCTCTTTCTTGAAGGCAGAAGGTGGCAGGTGGAAAACGTGCAGTAAAATATTATATGCTGACAGTATCTCTAAAGGAAAAATTAATAATAGGAGATACTAGAGGGACCCATTATGGACTGTGTATAGAGATTTTCACTGTTGAGTTGAGAACTTGTCAGGCCTCTGAATAAGCTTGTCACTTTCTTTTTGGCTAGCTATATTTGTGTATGTTCAATGTGGAATGTGACACTGCCTTGACAAGCTTTGAAAACAAGTTTTGTACCCCTTTCACTTTCAAGTTGACAAACAAGTTTTTACTGTGCTTTTTCACACAGGAATCGAACTTCTGCAAAGCCATCATTCCAGTCATCTCCCGTGAGTATCCTGATCCAGATTAGTTCATCGCCTTTTAGTCCACATATTTATGGAGTAATAACATACATAATTGATATGTTGAAAATATGCTTGTTTCTTAAGCAGTCATAATTCAAAATATAGGGATGTTTTTATTCATGTGTTTACGAACATCACTGATGAAAAATACATTACAGAAATAGAAAATAATGTGTATATGAACTGTCAAATCATATCTCTTTGAACAGTGATGATCATAAATAAACCTGTGACAACAGTCATAGGAATTTCCTCATGTAGGTTAAACTTCCATTCAGTGCATAAAAAGTGGGTCTCCTATGTAAAAGTGGCCTCAGGAAGTTTCTGTAATTCAACTCCTTACCTTAGAGTTCCCTTGTTCTTGTAATGGATTAGCAGATTTTATTAGTGGCTAACACTATGCCACAGTTACTTTTATTCACCATCAAACCATGTTCTTTCAAACTCAACACTATATGGCGATTTATATGTCATGAAATGTTGTCTTGATGGATGCTTTTTAACATTTCCATCTGCAGGTTTTTGAGGGTGTGTACAACAATGCCAGAATGCTTCATTTCCTCACAGCTGTTGTGGTGAGTCATTTGGCTTTTTGTCAATGTCCTTTCCAGACCATGATGCCTATGCTAGAGAAGTTAACGTGCATCAACCCCTACCATAATAGTTGGAGATAAGATGTAACCTACCTACTGCAAAGCTACCTTTTCTGTCATAATCTGTTGTGTGTGTCCAAGGACGTGAAGGGTTACAGCAGCTGGCAGAGGTTGCTGATTAAAATTCTTTTGCTTTTTTGGCTGGGGAAAAATGATATATATTTTGTTTGAAAAGAGGCAGGCTATACATCCTTCTGTCAAAGCTACCCCTGATGTGTTGTCATGAAATGTGTACAGTATATAGTATGTGTTGTTGGTTTGGACTCACTCTCCTGGTTAACAAGGTTTTAATAAAATCTTAATCTCTTTTAGGGTTCTACCTGTGACATAAGAGTGAAGAATGGCAGTGTATTTGAAGGCATATTCAAGACTTTAAGTTCTCGGGTAAGAAGTTCATGTTAAGCAAACAGGCACACATGCACTTCCCTCTACCAATTTAAGGAAGCACCACAAATATTCCTGTCAGTCCTCAAATTTCCACTGCCTTCTCAATGTTTGGTTTTTAGTGTGAGTTGGCTGTGGACGCTGTACACAAACGCAGTGAAGAGGAGGGATCAACATCAGTCCTGCCACGGAGAGAGGACATCACTGACACTATGATCTTCAGTCCTTCAGACCTGGTGACAATGATCTGCAGAGATGTCGACCTCAACTATGCCACCAGAGGTACAAACACACACATGCTGGGGGTTTTGGTAGAGTAATTAGCACAGGCCTGCAATGTATTTTTTGCAGAGATATATAGTTCCTTCATAAAAACAAAACAGCAAAATGCTAGATTTAATTGTAAGCATTAAGATTACATTCAGGCTAAACACATCCTTGATTTATAGTAAATGGGGTTTTTAAGTGTTGTAAAAATGTTTATAGGTTGATCATTTGTCAGTCTACTGTCCTGAATGTACCTCTTGACTCTTTATTTGCAAGGAGAAAATACGAAAAAAACAACTGCAATATGGTTGAAAAATAAATGGTAATATAATTTTATATTTCGAATCAAAACCAAATGCAGGCTGCAGACAAATCTTGTCCAAAGAGACATTTTTAGAGTGTTTCATCTTATCCTGTCTAATATTGTGTCTTTGACTTTCAGACACCTTCACAGACACAGCCATCACCTCCACCCGCGTCAATGGAGAACACAAGGAGAAGGTCTTGCAGAGATGGGAGGGAGGAGACAGCAATGGAGAGAGTTACGATCTGGAAAATGATGCGGTGAGTTGCTCCGTCTCTTCCACACAGAAACACCAATTAACCATCTAATGATATGAATGCCCTTTAGAGATGGTATAACAATATACACCTTCAATCATGTACTCTCAACACATACAGCCTCTTATTTAGCTGATTATTCATCAACACCTAAATCTTTTAAAACAAATCGACTATTAATCTGATATGCTGAACTGTTCTACTACTAAGTATTGTTTTAAAGCACTGATTATTTTACTACCCCATCGCTCTCCCTGTTTTTCCCCTCAGTCCAATGGCTGGGATGCCAACGAAATGTTCCGCTACAATGAAGTAAAATATGGAGTCACATCAACATATGATTCCAGCCTCTCCATGTATACGTAAGTTGCTTTTGGGAGTAATAATAAATAGTTATAATAAATTGTTGTTACTAAAACAGGCCAAAAACTGCATAAAAACTCTAGAAATAATGTGAAATGTTGTTAAAGATCTACACCATTTTATTTTACATATTTTTGCTCTGTTTGTTCATTTTTGGTGAGGAAACTAGGAGAAAAATATTGCTTGGTGCTTATTTTTTGTGGTAATCAAACTGGCAACAATAGGTTATCAGAATTAGATATGAGCAGTGCCAGCCTTTACATATCATACATATTGCATCAAGATAAAGATGTTGTATTCAATTGTAGAATTACTTTTATCCATAAATTACTGTTTTCCAGTTGAGTCATTGTTGACTGGGATTTTACAGGTTTTCACCATAACCAAATGTTGCACCACTCCTACTGATTTCACATAGCTTAAACTATAAGATGTGCTCAGTAGAGTGCAGGGCTCCACCAAGGCCACTGTCAAACAACATACACCAAATTTAGAGGAAAAAACTTCATAGTAAATGATCTGGATCTGCCCCAATATTCAATGGGTTCTTCCCTGGGTCATGCCCCATTGCTCCACCACGTTTGATGCTAATCGGTTCAGTGCTTTTTGTGTAATCCTGCTGACAAACAAACAAGCCAACACACACGGGTGATTACATAACCTCCTTGGCAGAGGTAACCAAAGAGGAGGGACATTTACTTTAATCAGATGATGTATCACTTGGAGTGAAAACCTGCAATCTGGCCTCCACTTCATTTCAATTGGAGCTCTTTTCTTAAAATTGACTATACTAAACTATCTCCTCCTTGTATCAAATGTATTCAAGCTTGATGTATAGACAAAAGTCAACTTCAGCTAATTCACAAGGAAGCTTCCTTGGGTAAGACTCTGAGTTCTTTTCAGCTGTGGAGGGGGACAAGTAAAATGGAAAACAAATGTTTGGGTCAGTAAGATCTTCACATTTGACAGGTTTTTGGTCTGTGTTTTGGCTTTATCAATTGTTTTAAAGGTTTCTGTCGCTTCCTTACATTCTGTTTCTTTGTCCCACTTTTCTCTCTCGCTGCCCAGTGTGCCACTGGAAAGAGGAAACTCTGAGGTGTATCGGCAGAGGGAGGCGCGCGCCGCTCGCCTGGCCAGTGAGATTGAGTCAAGCCCCCAGTATCGCCATCGTGTGAGCCTGGAAAACGATGAGGGCAAAAGCGAAGAAGACAAATACAGCGCTGTGGTGCGGGATGGCAACGATCGGGAGAGGGGCCGCGAGAGTCCCCGTGACAGAGACCGCGAAAGGGGCCGAGACAGCCCTGGAGCCAGTAACAGGTGAGAGGAGACACTTGTAGAGTGTTTGTCAGGCAGGGAGATAGCGTGTTCATCTTGCTGTAGATATTGGTTAACAGTTCATCAACTCTTTTCGAGTACTGGCCCCACCGACCACTATTCAAGTTGCATATTTTTCCACCCTCCACTGTACTCAAGGAGACTTGAAAGTTGCAACAACTCTTGCACCAACCCCAGCTACAGCTGAACATTTTTGAGAAATGCATTTCAGAATAAAGGAACAGAGAAATTACAGTGTCTGCTGTGTGTGAAAGGCTGTCACCAGTAAATTCTATGAACTTCTTGATTCTAAATTGTGTCATCATTTGACATTAACAGTCTCTGGAGATTTTGATTCTATTGGTTTAAAAGTTGAAGGTCAAAGTTCATTCTCGATGCTGGAAACAGCAGCTCACAAAGCAATGTCATTTTAAGGTCCAGTTTTCAGTCCCATCACACCATCAGTTCAAGTAGAAAAACTGAGGAAGATTGTGTGATATGATCAAAAGCTCCCTATCAGAACAGCTACTAAATGGACTTTGAGGTGAGATTGTTTTGTCAACTGCTGTTTCAAGGTCAGAAGTGAACTTCTGAAAATCAGTTTTGTGGTACAGTATTTTTTCCTGTTCCTGTTGTATGATACATTTTCTTTCTCTTCCAGGGAGGGCAAGTACATTCCATTACCTCAGCGTCAGAGAGAAATGAACCGGGAGCGAGAGCGAGCCGAGAGGGGTCCTGGTGGGCCTCAATCCCATAACCGTCTAAGCGGAGGTTACCGCTCCACCCCTCCATCCTCCTCTTCCCCCAGACCCTCACTGCCCTCTGCTGCGGGGCCACAACCTGGTGTTTCCCCCTCAGAGAGAAGTAGCCCTCTGTCAGGCCGAGGCGGTGCCTACACTCCCCACCACCCCCAGGGAAGTCCCAGCCCAGGCCCGGGTTCTGGCCCTGCCAGCCCATACACACCTGCCTCTCCTGGTGGACCAGCACCTACGCCAGCCTCTGCTTCCGCGGCCCCTTCCCCGGCCAGCCCCCCTGCCCCGCACGGACACACAGTCCCTCATTCCCACTCACTCCCGCACTCACTGTCTGACGCTGGCAGGCCTGTTAATGGAGGTGTGTGAACTTGTGTCAAAGTGTTTTCACAGCATCTGTGCATGCTGCCTGTGTAGTATGAATGGTCTGAAAGTGAAAACTAAGGAGATTTTTTGTGTTTTTCAGTCTCTGCCAGAACATCTCCTAAAGCCCAAAGACCTCCACAGTCGAGCAGGACAGCCCGCCCTTCAAACTCACACACTCAATCCACAGGTATAAGATGCAGTCAAATCCTGTCAACTGCTGTAATACAGTCTCCTATATTATTGATGAACTTTGCAGAAAACGTAACCTTTATCTTTTTCTCCATCGTGTCCTTTCAGCTACTCGCTCTCCTAAATCAGGCTCTTCCCAGGACACACCTTATCTAGACACATCTTCTGTCTCCCTGCCCGCCCAGAAGACGTCTGGCCCCGCCCCTCTCTTCCCTGTAGATGGTACTGTCTCACCTCTCGCCTTCTGTTCTTGTTTTAAAGAGTTTGAAATCAATGTCAAAATCATTTGTATCCTGTGATGACATGAGCTTCAATGAGACAGTCACCTTGTAGCAGTGAGCGACGAGTATTGAAGGTGGAATCTAATGAAGCGCTACAACTAATTAGCTTGCCGTTTGTCTCGTCATTACAGTGAATGAGATCCTTGGTGCAGCTGCAAAAGAACGTTCAGCCGAGAGCCCCAGCAGCACGGAGGAAAGCAAGAGCAGTAAAGGTGTGTTTCAAATTGGTACTAGCTAAATATTGGAAATAAATCATAAAACTTCCACTTGTGCCTAGTTGCATGTCCTGTGTGTTTTTGAGAGCATGCACTGACTTCATACTTTCACATTTTCATTAACCTTTGTTTCCTGTCTCCTCACCAGCTCCATCAGTGCAGCAAAGGTCGCAGATTGAGGAGCTGCGGAAATTTGGCAAGGAATTCAGGGTAAGAGTTCAGTTGCCTTTCAGTGAAGTGTGAAATTAGAAAATCTGTGACCAATCAAGGGGCCACGTCCTGAGACATCACCGTAGCCTGACTTCCCCTCTAAAAAATCACTCACGTCTTATCCATTTGGATTTGAGATCGTCAACAGTAATCACATGACATTGAGTGCTGGTTGGCGTACTCAGTCTTTACTGGGTGCTGTAGAGATCAGTCAGGACATTGTGCCACTGAAGATGTACTCACTTTAATGCAACATGTTTAAAACTTAGTTGTACACAAGGGACTTGGGTTTCTGTAATGCAGTTATTTTATTGCAAGGTGTGTTTGTTGTAGTACTGCAGTCACCCTGCTAGAAGAGGGGAAATCCAGACATGTCTAAGAGAAATACTTGTGTGACGTTTTTTGAAATTTTAGTTTTTGCAAATCTGCTGCAGCTCTTTTTTTGGACATTTGTCTTCATCTTTGCCTGATCACAGGATTTGGTAACAAGTTGTAAAGATGCAGTAAAATGATGTGTTACTCTCCAGATCAAAAGCTAAAAAAAGTCTTGAATTGACATGCCATTAGTGGAATATTTATGGTTACATCTATTTTAAAGGCTGAGACAACTTGTCAATTGACCAATAATCACTTAGTCATTCATAATTGTCATTTTTCAAGAAAAAATTGTAAATAGTGAGAATTTTTTTGACCCTTGTGATAGTAAATCGATTATTTTTGGTGGTTTTGGACAAAATAAGCCTCTGAAAAACATCAGCATAGGCTTTAGGAAATTTTAACGGACATTTTCACCATTTTCTGACATCTACAGTCCAAAAGGTTAATGAGAAAATAATCCTCAGATGAATCGATAATGAAAGTAATTATTAGTAATTCCTTTCTCTGTTTTTGTGATCACCTTCATCCAGCTTCACTATTTTCTCATTGCCTCTGTACTTATATGCTTCTCTCTGTCTTCCAGCTCCAGCCAAGTGGAGGTAGCTCGAGCTCTCCCAGCTCTCCAGCAGCAGCAACCCCTCCTGCCGTCAGTGAGGTCGCCCAGCCCAACACAGCCAAAGCCTCACCATCAGACGCTCACCCTGCTTCAGACCCTAAACCTCAGCCTCCAGCTCCCAGCCCCTCTCAGCCCCAACCTCAGCCTTCACCAGCTCCTGCTGAGGACCCCAGCAAGGACACCACAGCTACATCTGGCACCGCATCGGCTGCCACCACAGTGCCTGTTTCAGACAGGCAGTCGCCAGCTGCCCCGCAGCCAGCCAGGACCCCGGGAAGTGAGGAGGCCAGGTCTGAGACGTCGGAGCGGACGGAGGGTGTGGCAGAGTGAGTCTCAAGAATAATTACTCATTGTAAATTATTTGATTTTGCTTACTTGTTGCATTGTGTTTGTCATTTGTAAACACACTTTTTTTTTATATCTTCTAGCCAAGTAAAGAAATCAACCTTAAACCCCAACGCTAAAGAGTTCAACCCTATTAAACCTCAGATGCCTATGGTAAGTCAATTTGTTCCTGTTAAATCCTTGAAATGTGAAAATATTGTCAGCTTGGATAACTAGAAGGTACTTGTGTATATATATGATGTGGTTTGAAGATCAGAAAATGTACAGAAGTTATCTTGTTACCAGACACCCACATTTAGTACACAAGCTGGAAAATTAGATAACAAAAATGAAAAGGTTACTGTTCTTCAACCCTTTTGATTACAGTCACAAACCTGGTCTCCTTTTAAGGCAGCTCACAATGAGTATAAGAGATACACAAGTTATAGAGGCACAAACATGGCAGGAATGTGTGTTTTTCACTTCGTCTATGTTTTTGGCATCAAAAGGGAATATAAGGCCTGGAGCAGTACCTTTCTGTGTGGAAAACACTGTGGAGCCACAAGTCTGAAACAATTTTGTGTCATCAGTTGTTGCAGTAATAATGGGGATCCTAAAATGTTGCAGACAGAACCTGGAGACTTGGAGCTTTGAGACAATGTATAATTTGTCAATGTTATGTCAAGATTGAGTCTGGTACAGATCAAAACATACATAACGTACATACGTAAAGTAGCCATGAGTGGGACTGTGCATTTAAGAAAAAAAAAAAAAGATGAAAAATGCTTATGTTTGGTCCAAATCGTTATAGCAGCAAATATTTTACAATCAAAGACCTGTTGTAGCTGTGCTATTATTTTATTTACTGCAACACTGAAAAATAAGATGCGCTGAAACCCTTGTGGTTAGCTAAGTCACATGCAGATGTATTTACCTGTGGCTCTGTTATTGTACAGGCGAAGCCCAACACTGCGCCCACTCCACCTCGGCCAACTCCTCCAAGCCCAGTGGTCCTTCACCCAGGTGGACAGGGACCACTCTACACTGCCCCCTACCTCTCTTACGTCTCGCAGATTCACTCTGTGCAGGTACATGAGCATTAAAACTTTTACCTGGGTGGCTGCATCTCTCATCAAAGACATTCCAGTCTTTGTTCAAAATGTTTAGAAGGAACAGTCATGCCATCACTTTTGTGCCAGACACATTGGAATTTTTAAGTACACGATTTCAGAGGGAAAGTTTTATTTAGTAACCAAGGTTTTTAGAAAATCTCACTCTTATAGAATACTAAAAAAAAATCTGTAAATACTAACATTTGAGAAGCTTCACACAGAGATTTTTTTTATTGGTATTTTGCTTTGAAAGTAACTGAAATGATTATTTGATTATCAGAATTCTTTCCAATAAATGTTGTTTTCATCAAATAATCCCTTCAGCTTTATATTCATTCCTCCCAATATAATATATGTGTTGACCTCGGTTCTGTTTTTCAGCCACCACCAATGTATCAGTACACCATGTCTACAGTCAACCAGGGAAAATACCCCAGGACCAAAGGTAGATGCAGTGTTTTTCTCTCCAGTGCTGCATGTCTGAGGTTTTAATTTGTTGTTTCCATTTGAAATTGCTTCTAAAATAGATGCACTGTCAGTTCTCTGGATATCAAAGGCTTGAAACACACTTCACAGAAAACAATGCTGAGACTGGAGCTTTTCACTTAAACCTTAAATTATGCTTTTATTATGTTCCAGCTCATTGAGTTGCTGTGTATTATGGAGGTGTCATACTACATAACCTAACAAGTTGTTATAACTTGCGACAAATATTAAATATTTTGAAAAACTGTAAGTGTACCAATATGTTCATGTTTTTAATGTCTTGCTTATTATTTGCCTTCATCAGGCTCAGTAGTGGCCCCTCGCTCTGACCATGGTACTTCAGCGCCCCCCATGCTGCAAGCTGCAGCCTCAGCAGCTGGGGCCCCGCTGGTAGCATCCCCCTACCCTCAGTCCTACCTTCAGTACAACCCACAGCAGTACGGCCAGCAGCAGGTCATCCAGGCCATGACTCCCTACCCTGGACAGGTACGATGTCTAACCCCTATAATTCAGGTTTCAAATTGTTAGCAGCGGAGTTTGAATTAGCATTAAAGAATACATCAAAATATATCATATATAAATGTATTAAAATAGTTTCATTTGTTCCTGTCATCTCCCCCTCTCCAGCCGATGTACTCCATGCTGCAGAGTGGAGCCAGGATGATAGGTCAAGGCGGGGGTCCCCATCCACAAGCGCTGGGACCCCCAGGAGGCCCCCAGTTTCAAACACAGGGAGATGGACCTCAGGGTCCACAGCAGGGCATCTACGGTGAGGGTTGCCAAACGTACAGAGTAATGAATGAGAAACAAAAGTATCTATATGCAAGGTTCAGAATATTCAGTGGTATTAAGTTTCTGTCATCCTGTTCCCACTCGTGTGTTTTCATTGAATGCCTCAAAAGCATTTCCCAAGACGATGACTGTCTCTTTTCTCTGTAGCTCCACAGTCCTTCTCTCACCACTCGGGGGCAGTGCATCAGCCTCAGCCTTCCAGCACCCCAACTGGCAACCAGCCCCCTCCCCAGCACGCTGCACCTAGCCCTGGACAGGTTAGATACCTCTACGGGACTGCTTGAATATATGTAGACAAATTTGCTAGGTCCCATTTCAGGGACTGGATCTCCCAGTCAGCTTTTTTAGACTCATTGAACTTGAAATGTAGACTTTATAAGGTCTAGTGGAGTATAAAAACAACAACTGCTGTTGTGGAGGAGGCACAGGTTCAGCCTCGGAGGGACTGACCTTTTTAAAGGCTCCAGCTCCAAGGACACATCAATGATTCATTTGTGATCTCTTAATGTTTTTTGACATTGTGATCTCTCCCTTCAGAACGCCCAGTCAGGCCCACAGCCACAGTCCTTGTACCACTCAGGTCCCCTGTCAGCACCCACCCCACCCAACATGCCACCAGGCCACACGTCTCCACAGGGCTCTTACCCCATTCAGGGTTACAGCATCCATAGCCACCAGGGCATCCCACCCACATACCCCCTGGGACAGTTGACACAGGTATGGATCCACAGTGCTACTTATTTATCATTTATTATTATATCAATTTTTTTAAAAAGTGTTCCATCTTTTGAAAAGTTTTATCTCGATCTAAACTTGTCACTGTCCTGCCCCCCCAGGCCCACGTACAGGGAGCCATGTCGGGTCCCCACCACTCGGGGAGCCACGGTCAGCCCCAGTTAGTGATGTTGCAGCCGCCCCCTCAGCAGGGCCCTGGCTCAGTGCCCCAGCACCCCCAGCACGGACCTCAGCAAGGAGCACATCAGCACTTCTACATAGGACATCCACAAGGTATGAGCCATAATGCCTAAAATAACCCCCCCCACCTGAATTATCAAATAAAGGTGATTTTGTTCGAAGTGTAGGATTTACAATTTCAATTTCTGTGTTTACCCACCACAGCAATGCAGGTACAAACGCACCCTGCTTCCTTCCATCCGCCTGGAAACTAAATCCCCTCCAGACCAACCCCCACCCTCCCAAACTGCCCCCTGGAATGAGCCCCAACATCCCCACTTCCTGCTGGATGTGAGGCCCAGACTGAATGCAACAGACAGGATCGCACAGAGGAGAGAAGAGGACAAAAGTCTCACAGCACCTTATTCTTCTGCTGTAATGTTCTTCATCAGTACAAACCTTGGTGTCAGCTCCAGACGAGGACCTTTTTTTAATGTTAATGATGAAGGTGGCAGACTACAGCAGCAGCGTCCGACCTCTGCTGCCATCCTGCTCTTCTTTCCTACTTCTTCCCTTTTCGGGGCATCTTGCTGGGCGGACCAGTCAGAGAGGAAAGAACACGGATGAAAAACAGCAGCAGACACTTCCAGCAATGTGTTTTTAGCCTTGTGGGGTTTTGTAAGTACCATGATACAAAACACAGACTGTCGTGGGATTCTCATGAATACAGCATGAAAGGAGGGATTTGTAGAGGAGAGGGGATTTTTAGCAAATCACTTTTTTTTCTTTTCTTTTTTAACTTGATCCAGTAGTTAAAACCACCCCTTTGCCCTTCTTCTCTCCTGTAGGAAAATATAATTAATAAAAAAATGGACAAGATGGACAAAAAAAATATTAAAACAACAATGACCAAAAAATAAAGTTTTCAACTCAACTACAAAGGTCTGTTTGTATAATTTATTGTATGATTAATTGTGCTTGTCTGGAGTATTGCAGTTACAGTTATGTTCTTCTCTGCATGAAGTAACAGTTAACAGTTATAATGAGGCACAGAAATATATTTTTCATTAGACAATAACAAGAGCACTATTAATTTGAAGCTCACTAAGCATTTGCTATTATGTCAGGCTGACAAAACGAAGTAATTATCTCCTAGGGGACTTATTGTGTTCTCTTCACATTCTCATTAGCTTGGATTCGTTCCGCTCAGTGGTACAACTCTGCATGTTAATTTAAAACGGTCACTAGGGGGACCCCTTTGTACGCACCAACCTCAGTGCCAACATCATGAGGCACACAGTCCTTGTTGTGTCAGATATGATATGACTTTAGGTTAGTGGGACACTCTGCTTCCCCTTCAGGCAAGTATGACACCACACTTTGTGGCTCAGTGACAACGCTCAAGATCGTCAATGTGTGGCCTACTTTCCTCCCAGTGCAACATGTTGGGACACACACTTTCAGCACGGCAGGTTTTGATGGCCTCAGTGTGACAGGGCATAGAGCTGCTCGGCGCTGCGCTCCAGTCGGTCCCTGTACTCCAGGTTGGAGTAGTTGCCTTCAGGGACCCCCTGTGTGCCATAGAGGAGGCCCCAGCAGCAGCAGGCAATCACCGCTGTGCTGTCGCTGTCACCTGATCAGGAAGAAAAGTAGATGGACAGAGAGAACAGCGTGAGAATTGAGTTTTTCACTGCAACTGTTTGCACCTATTATTTCGTAATTGTCACATGTTCGGGAAACCTTTTAAAGTCTTGCTTTAAAAAGTCATAGTGTATATAATATGTCATTTTTGTGTTCAGATGGTTTTGCTGCTCAAAACTGACCAAAAAAGTTAATGGAGGTTTAAATTCAACAGAACCATATGGCACCATAGTGCAAAATGTCTTCATTGGCTTCCAGATGTCTTTCACCTAGAAGGTACTCTTACCAACTTTAGGGTCACCGACAATTAATAAGCAGATCGCTGAGGATATTCTAACAATATCAACATTTATCATGATATGTATTTAGGTTAGGGAAGTCACATATTAAGCTTTTGTTTATCAGGCATTATTGCACAATACTATTAAGTCAAAAGAGGAAATCTAGTGGATATTTATTGGTAATTAAGATGACAAATTATGTATCACTCAATATAACTTAAAAATTTTGATGATACATAGGCACATTTTCTAGCCTCAGTTCAGTGTCTCAAAGGTCAGTTTGAGGACACAGGCCTGTCAATCAACACACTTGTTTTTAGGAGTTAACACTACCACCATTAGGGAGGTTGCATTAATCTTTAGTTATGTCCAAATTCATTGTTTTATCATAATGACTTCAGACTGGGCAAAACATTGATTGCAAGGTTTAAATTCCCACGGTTCTTAAGCAGTTTTTTTTTTTTAATGATAACCTTTATATACCTAAAGATAGAGCTACCTATAGACCACTTGCTCAGTAACCATTGTATGAAAAGTTTCTTTTCCACTTCATTTGTGTGGGCTCAACAAAGCTGCCTTTATCCTCAAGACAATGACAGATGAGGACCAATTAGAGTGCAGACCATCAGTCCATATGGCTTGTCTGAGCACAAGTGCTCTGACTCTAGATGAGACAGACGTTGGGAAAAACATCTCTGTTTAAAACATGCGGAGAGGAATGCTTGCCAGAGTGCTGTGGTTATCAAACTAAACCAGAAGGCCTGGTTTATGCAAAAGACCAGGTTTAATACTAAAAGAGGTTATGTTTGGTAATGGTAGTCGTGTAACCTAGAGATACACTTCAGAAGATTTACTTTAGATCAGAGATAATTGAGATCAAGTTTTGGTGGATTACGGTTAGGGAAATACTTCCCTGGCAGCCAATAAAAGTACACCCAAGAGACATTTTCTTGACTGAATCTCTGACCTCCATGGAAGCCCGCTCTGTTCATCAGCTCCTCCCAGTCTGAACCCGCGCCCAGCAGGGCATCGTAGGCTATCATCGGAGCGTCGTGGCCGCTGCGTCCCGCCCAGCCCGACAGGCTGAAGCTCTTGTAGGCTTCGTCTCTCTCAGCTGGGTTGTAGGAGGGGGGCCAAATCACAGGGCCCACCCCGTTGGAGATGCCCCTCAAATCCAGGTACCTGTGGACAGAGGTCAGAGATTTTCCTGACATCCACGCTGTTACGTGAATCTCTATAAGTAAAAAGTAATGAGTCTTTCCAAGGTTCACTGACACACTGATATATTATTTTTACTATACATAAGAAGTGGAAACACCTGTTTTTATCAGTGGTACTTACTGATGGAGTAAGTGGGCAGGGTATTTTTTTAGGCTTTGACATCTCCTGGACCGCACAGATTGTATGATGTTGGCAGAAAAAAGTGCCTCCTGCGTAATGCCCTGACCCAACATCCTGTTTTAACCAGATAAACTGTTCGTGCGTCAAATGAAGCACACATAATGCCATCAGAATTAAGTTCCTATATTTCTATACATTTATTATATTTTATATTTTCTTAATGTCAACTTATCCATGAGAAGACCAAATCCAACTTGGCATAAAGTCAGTTTGTACTTTCTAACCTCCCTATACTGTCTCACATTCAAGCCCATTCATTCCAACTGAGGATGTAAATAATTATAAAACAAATGTATAATTTCATTTCTTAAAAAGTCACAATCATTTCATAAAACATCTGGGTGCTATAGTTAAAAAGTAACTCAAACATGAGTAAATTGTTCATTTGTTGGGGATTATTTTCAGTGGGGAGTAATTAACATTTGGTGTTAACAGCAGCAGGACAGTGTGCGCGCGCGAGATTGATTTAAAAATAAATGTGCCCGTGTTTGTCATAATGAGGGAACGCGTTTCCCAGCACAACAGTGTGGCTCGCTGATGTATCTTTATCAGTGGAGCGCTACTATAACAATTAGGAATCAGCTACATCAGGCTTGGAGCAGCTGGATCGTTGCTGGTTTTGTTTAAATAAGAAAAATATGGAATATGACCAGACTTAGTAAGACTAAGTAAGAAATCTACTTGTGTATTTGTATTATTGCTATTAGGAACAATAGCTTAGAAGAAAAATTAGGTCACACCGCTGCACTCAAACTGACCACTGACATTTTAGTGCAAATCTCATGCCATCCTCTATTAACCTTGAGACTGATATAGGCTAACAGAAGTTGCTGATGTTGGAAACCTGGAGTTGAATACAACATGACAGCCTCATACCACTGCCACTTGTCACAGAAGTAGCCCCAGTCTCTCTCTGTCTCCTCCACAGCGAAGCCTCGACCCTCAACGAAGTTCTTTGCTATTGGACAGGCCTCGTTGATCAGGCCCAGACCCCAGGTTGTGATTGGCCTGCGCTGGACGGCGTACGCGGTGAAAAGGGCCGATGCTACGGCTCCCAGAAAACCGGTAGGGTGGGGATGGGTCATCCTCCCTGTCTCCACGGCAACCGCCACCAGCGATAACAGCTGATCAGGCTTTGGATACCTGGCAGGGACATAGTATTAAATAGAGAAATGTGTTGAAGGATTCTGTATCAGTACTCCATTTGGATACACATTATATTCACAGTAATGACTTCTTTCCATGCTTTAATTGAGTTCACAGAATGTCCTTGATGCTTCTGGATGATGTTTTAACCCTGCAACTCTGTTATTTATTTGTTATTTTCTGCTTAGTGATCAAAGAATGTACATTTGCTGCATTTATCATAAATTACTTTGGATAAGAACAGCTGCCGAATGCCTCAGCTGTAAATTTGAATGTGAAATGTTCAATGTCAAGTTGTCTTTCTGTTTCATATCTTTTCGATATTTTTCCCTACATTTTACTGACTAAATAATTAATTTAGAAAATAATCAGAAGATTAATTGATAATGAAAATAATAATAATAAAAAAGAACAGTAAGGCAATGTATTCACACTTGGGTCTGAAATATGGCGAGTAAATCTGTAACCTCAGAGTTATTTTGGACTCTGACCTTAACTTGGAAAGTCATGTCAGTAACATAAGAAGGGCAACTAAAATCTTAAAAGTTAAAAGAGGGTTTGTATGTCACACTGATTTGAGAAACTCCTTCATGTTAACAGGTGGGACTACTTTCATGCTCTCCTTGCTGCCTGATGATTTGAGCTGTGTCCACATTCAAAAGCAAACTTATAATGTTTCTATTTTCAGAGGTTTATGACTCCTTATATTATGTCTTGATGCCTTTTATGCTCTATGTAAACGATCTGAATTGCCTTGTTGTTGAAATGTGCTATACAAAGAAACTTGCCTTGCCTGGAGTTACTTTATGTGTGTGTCTTGCGGCATGGGTCCTTACTTTCTTTGGGTGGGTGGGTGTTTACACGTTGATTGTAATCTAAAACACATTGAGTGCACTTGTATGGAAAATTGTTTTGCCTTATTAGATTATTGCAAACATTAGGTGTGCCACAAACAAAACCAAAACCCTGAGGATTTCAGGAGACAAAGGAAAAATGCTAAAACAACAGAGAGTACCAATATTTTCCAACAAAGTCAAAATCAATTTGTAACTTATTTCCTTTTCGCTATTAGTCCCACGACTTGAGTTAATGCATACAGAGAAAAATCTTTCAAAAAGAGGCTTTAGTGCGACTCAGTTAGTCATTAAGATGCCCTGTACTTGCTCAGGAAAGCAGAACTGCAAGGTCACTGACAATTAAAAATTAATAAACAAACTCATGGAGAGCAGAAGCAAAAGACAGAGTATCCAAACTGGAATACACAAGGACTAGACTGAGTTAGTATGTACTTATTCTCGGGTCTTACATCAGACCAATGCACATAGACCTCATGGCCGCTCCACAGCCCGTCCCCTCAGGGTTATAAGGCACTCTGTAGCCCCCTTCCTCCCCAGGCTTCAACTGGGACACACCTAAAAGGGAAAATAAAGTAAGTCA